GGGGGGGGGGGGGGGGGCAAGAAAAAGGAAAGAAAAGGAAAGGAAGGAATCTACATGAATGTGTTGAATGGAAGAAGGAGAAGCATAAATTTGAAGTGAATAAGTAGATCATGTGGGGTTTTTGGAGTGCTGAGGGGTGGGGGGGCCATAGCCAAGCTCATAGCTTGCCAAAGATATTGGAATATATGGGCTGTGATTTTAGATTGGAAATATTGAGGTAGTGGGATGGGAATGAATGGAGGGTCGAAGCTGGCATGGGTCACTTCTAAGTGTACATGTTCCTTAAAAACACACATATTTGTCAGCTAACTACTTTTTAAGTGTCCCGCAACACGAATCTATTACGATCCGACTCGAAACGCTCGCTTCGTGAGTGAGAGTGGATAGTGAGCTATATGAACAGATATACGTTTGGTAACCATTTTTACTTTATTTCTCGTTCGTTCGTTCTTTAGTTAAAGAACTTACACACTAAAAGGAAAGAAGAAGTTAAAGGGATTAAAAATGGCAAAAACAAGGTTGAATGAGGAAGAGAAAAAGGGGGGGAAAGGGATAAAGAGTGTCATGAATTTGGGCTCTACGAGGTCTTTTGAAACAACATGTGAACGTGTATGGTAGTTATGTCTGCCATCTTTGTTTTTCCATATTTTGTACTGCTGCTTTTGTGTCTCTCTCCCCAGAGAGAGAGAGAGAGGGAGGGAGAGAGAGAGAGAGAGAGGGCCATGGTTTTAATTTCCCATATCTTCATTTCAACAAATTTAATCAATCAAACCCTAATTGGCCCCATTGTTATCTAAGCCACCCCATGAACAAACCCTAATTCCGTGTTCAACGAAATCATTTATGATTACAACTATAATTGTAATGACCTGACTTTTTAGATTTGGAACGATTGCCTTTTCGGATGGATGGTTCTGTTAAAGGACTTTAACAAGTGTAATCTTCCAACTACGCAATGATTTTACCTTCCAAGCCAAAATTTGCACGGGTTTCTTTCCGTAGCTTAAACTCATGTCCAATCTTAAAGGTTTGTAATCTATCACATAAGATGGATCTACTATGTATTGTCATAACATGAACACGTGGAATACATTTTAAACTCTTGAAGTGCCGGTGCAAACCAAACAATAAGCTATCGATCTAACCCACTAATATGTCAAATGAACCAAGTATGACTTAATCATGACGACTCCAAAGTTAAATATGTTTGGCTTAGAACAATTCTATGTTGGGTAATCTCCTAGAAATCATGTGAGTGACGACAAAACAATGATCTGTGTTAGTTTGTGAGGATAATCTTCTCTCTTAGAAATAGTTCAAGTCAAGTAAGTAGCGTGGTCATGAGGTATCAAATATGGATTTCAAATGATAGTATGAATAGTATAGAAAAAAAATGACACCATACGAGTTCAAGCTACCACATATCCTTTTAAATCAATTACTAAATTTAACAACTTCAATTGTGACAGATGGTAGAAACTATCAAGCTAGTACGGTAGGGGTAAAGAAAATTTTCGATAGAGTGGTGAAATACATAGAGATCATAAATAACAACGACTAAGACCAAATCTATAAGTTAACCCACAAAAAGTGAAAAGAATTGTGTGTTTAATTAGATGAGTAGAAGCATTGGAAGAGGCAAAGGATGAGATATTTTGACAAACATTGATAATTGCCTACTTTTTGAGGACAAGTGTGTGTGGTTTCCAGTTTGATTCTGAGAGCAACCATACTTCACTTTTTCTTCTCTTTTTCTTAAACCTCTGACAATCTCATTTCATTTGAGCAATCAAATGAAAAATAATCCAATAATAATTTGCTTTGAGTTTTGGTTCAATGTATTGTCCTACAAATATAAGAATCTCGTAGTTATTGCCAAAGACAAGATTGAAATGAGCCTGCAAATGTAGAAAGCAGAGTCAATAAACTAATTGAATCCAAACTGAGTCACTGCCACTTCTGGCTGTACCTAAAAGCATAGCCCTCCCCCTTTCTTTTGCTGTGCCAATTGGTGGCGCCCCGCCCCCCACACACCCACACACACAGCTTAGCTTAATCAGTGAAACATAAAATGTACCAAAAGTGAAGTTGAAACTGTCTACAAGGACACAAGACAAGATATGCTAACTTACAGGTGCCACTGTACATCCCTCCCTCCTGCGCACTTTGTGAATTTTAAGGTACCTCGAGTGCTGGAAAGGAGACAGCCAGCCAGGCCCTTCCTTCACAACACTTGTGGAAAGTGTGGATTAGCTTGAATCCTGAGCCACATAATGGTAGAAGAGACTCAGTTTCATCATGTTCCTGGTTTAGCAGCAATCATAGCACAATCTAGAGTCTAGGCTAGCCAGCTCTAAAACTACAGTCCTTTCTTTTTCTTTTTGGAAAGGAAACAGAAACGATTCCTTTCAAAAATACAAAAGAACAGTGGAATGATCAGGTTATCTAGATGGAGCAGGAGAGAAACGAAGCATTACTTATAAGGGTGTAGAAACCTTTTCTTAGTAAACGCGTCTTAAACCTGTGAGGCTGACGACGATATGTAATGGACTTAAGCGGACAATATCTACTAGCAGTAGGCTTGGGTTGTTACATCTTTCCTTCTAGCTCGTCCTTCTTTTAGCTAACCGTTCACTCCCAAGGGGACAAAACTCACACTTTTCTAAAACTACAATCTGAAATCTCCATCTAGAATCTGATATGAACTTTATATAGTTCTCAATAAAATTGAATAACAGTCCTAAATCAGAAGTACGAAACTTTGTTGAAAAAAAAAAATAAGAATCAACTTATTGCAATTCATTGATTATATTTCCCAGTTATTCTTGCCTTGTTTCAGTACAGATCCTAGAAACTTATTGGGAAAGTGTTTGGTTTCTGTAAACATCAATGAGGGAAGAAGTGCCTTGATAAACTACTACATATATCACATTACACTCATTATCATCAACAACGTTATGATTTGCATATAATATTGCTTAACGGGTACTCTGCAATTTACATATATGGGTAGGTGTCTTCACAGAAGCAAGCACAAATCAGACGCTCTAAATCTATAGCCAAAGATGAATTTGCAAAATTTCCAAAAGGAAAAAAGAGAGAAAAAGGAAAAGATTCCTTGCTTGAAATTATGTGACCTGTGAAATCATTGAGTCCTTTGTTGCTAAGTTCGAGAAGTGTGGCTGTCTTCATTTCTTTGAGTGAGAAGTGAAACTCCATCATGAGAAGCACTTGAGGAGGCATAGTAGGATGTTACAGTGAGTTCAGCAAATCATGGAAGAGCAAAACCTGCATACAACAGACAATTATAATCACCCTCAGCTACACTAACAGGTAAGGTTAGTGGATGCTGACATTTGACCAGATAAACTAATGCATCCACCTTAGCATAGTATCTTTCCGAACTCTGCGAGATATCTAAGCCCTCCTAGGACAAAGACCTTGAACTTGATCTTACCAATACTCAACTCCTCTGAAGTTGGATGTACGGTCGGCTGGTGTTGAACTAATTTAAACAAGGTCGTTTTGCCAGCATTGTCGAACTCTAAGAAAAGGATCTAGGCCTCCTTTTGCCACAACCCA